TCTCTTAAATCGCATTAAATCGCCTAAAATCGCTTTAAATCGCAGTGCTTCAAAGTCCCAGTTTTTCCTTAAATCGCCTAAAATCGCCCAAAATCGCATTATATCGCAGCGATTTAAGGCGATTTACCGCCCCAGAGTAGGCCTTAAACATATTTAGTAGTTTAGTAGTAAAAGCTAAAAATCTATTATCCATTTGTGTATTTTTCATAAATTCATTTGTTGCCTGATTAGTTTAAGCATAAACAATATTGTCTATGGTTTAAAGGCTAGTTTCCACTCCGGAAAATTATCCGTGGATTGGAACGGACAAGAAAATTTTTCTTTGTCTTGTGAGCTCTGGGTTGGAACTAATGACTTTAACACAAAGAAAAAAGTTCTTGTCCGTTCCAATCCACGGATAATTTTCCTGAGTGGAAACTAGCCTTGAGGCATTTGCGGGATTACGGGAACAATGGATTACACAGGTCTGTAAGCCAATGCAAAATTCTCAATATCAAAACCAACCAATCGCGTTATTTGCGCAAACTGAAACGGATGTGTAGGCTCATGAAATTATAAATAATTTCTCAGCTTTGAAATCACTCAGATTACGTTAGACGTCTTTGAGTGCGTATGTGCTAGACGTTTTTGCGTCGATAAAATTTCTCAGTGCCAAATTGCGCAAAGCTGAAACAAATTTGCGCCGGAAATTTTGTTTCTAAGCCGAGTGAAGAATGAAAGTTGATTTCAAGATCGTGTGCATCGTCTTGTTAGCGTTCTGTTTCGTCGCAGAGAGCGAGGGATGGTGGTCACGTAGATCGAGCAGATCCAGTAGTTCCAGCAGTAGTCGCAGCAGTTCGAGCAGCTCCAGATCGAGTAGCTCCAGTAGTTCTTCAAGGTTTGTTTAAAGTTTTATGCGGACATGATACTTTTACTTCCGCAAAAGGAATTATGTTTTCATCTACTGTATAGATCAGTTTGTGAGCTTGTTTGTCAGTCAGCATTGCACAACTAAACATATACAGATATTTTTATTGTTGGTGTTTATATTTTAGGAGGAGCTCTTCTCAACGCCGTGGTTGGAGCTTTAGACGACCAAGACGTCCAAGCCCAAGGTTTGTTAACATACGAAAAAACACAGAACGAACTTCATTCATTTCAGTTTATTAAACTTTCATTATGTTTCTTTTTAAAGACGATTCAGACTATGGCCTTTCGGAAGAAAACCAACAGCCTCGCCACAAGCAAAGCCAACCAGAGGATACAGCAAAATAAGGCTTCCGCCATGTTCACTTCGCTTTGGTACTCCATGTATTTGGTCTAAACAAGTCACCACTAAACGTCCTAGTGGTCCAACCAAAACTCCAGCATGGTGTTCGACACTTTACGGATTTTGTATAGAAACTGGGAAATCTAAAGCCCGAACTAGCAAAGCGCCTGTTAAAATTTCGCCACCTGCATCGCCTTTTAAGAGTTCGGGATCCAGCTCCGAAAATTCATGTCCGCTACCTAATAAAGTTAAGAGACGAATTCCTAAAAACATACCCGGAACATTTCATCATTGCTTGGAAGCTACACCGCAACAATGCTGCACTTACATTTCTGGTACGCCTGGTACGATTACAGTAGTTTTGCACGTTATCGACAATTGGCCAAAGTATCTTGCAATTGCACCCACAAAGTTACAAGTAGCAGTAATAACAATAGCTGGTGTTAATTTCTTACATAAAACCATAAAATGGTTGGGAACACAAGTGCATCACATCAGTGGTGAAATAAAAAAAAAAGTAACGAAAATAGATTTAGTAGAACGACCCCTCGCCTTCGCCCTCGCCATACTCTTAAAGTATAGGCCTGAATGCTCCTCATACGTAATACGATGCTTGCAGAAGAGTCATATGTGGACAACACTTCGAAACCAGCCAGGGAATGCCACACATTCAGCAGCGCTTTTGTATACTGAAGACGACGCCATGTATTTAATCGAGAAAGGCGGTACGCTAGGCACCAGGAACGATCGTAGGCAAATTAGACGTGTGTTTTTTCTGACATCAAAATGGAACACCGAGAAGACCATTACACCAGCAAAGCGGAGAACAGTCCAAGAATATTACCGCAAAATGGGAGGAGGGTACAATTTATACGATGACAACTGCCATGATGGAACAAAAGCTGTAGAACGATTGGCTGAATCAAGTGATTAATTCTCCAGCATTTCGCACAGCAGGACTTTAATAAACCGAAAACTTGGACCGAAAATTTGGACTTAACAGTTGGATGTTGCCAACACGTAGACTTTAAAGTAATCTTATTTAGTTTGAAATTCAATTGAATTAGAGTAGTGTTTGGGTTAATTTTAGGCTTTCAGCCGAATTAAATCTAGTTAGTCATTTAGTTTGGTTTTGACTAGTTAGTTGAATTTGGCGAGTAATTAGTTTGGCTAGTTAAATAATTTAGTTTTGCTGCGAATATTTTAGCTCCGTATTATTCAGTTTTGTTCATTTCATTCGGTAGTTAACTAGTTTAGTTTCGTTTGTAGTTTTTCTAATGTTTTCAGGTAACATGAGGCAGTTATAGTTTATCAATTTGGGTGTGTTGATTGCATGATTCAATTGAATTAGTCTAGTTTGGGGTTAGTTTTGGCGTAATTTTGCAAAGCAAGAAAGTTAGGTGCGTATTTTTGTAAGATCATAAAAACATTTACCTGAATAACGATGGTTTTTCCTAAATAAAGATGGTAATAGAATATCCATCGGGAAAGATGGTTTTTATGAAATTGTGTATAAAATTGTTTTCGTTTGTTACTTTTTCAATAATGAGCGACAAGATGGCTTCCTTGCTGGCAGAGTCTCTATTTGTACAGGGGAGCAAAGGAGAAGAGACCGCTGCCTATATCCGACACTACCTCAGTCCATGATCGTGGACACAGTGTCTGGATGGCATGGAGAAACAGCGGGATTTTCGAAACAATGAAAAGTCAATGGAACATTTCAATATGTCATGAAAAGGACCGTTTCTCTACAAAGTGTTACAGTATCAATAAACGCACATACACTGCAGTCAGACAAAAGATCTTTATTAAATATTTTTACTACAGTTCGCGAGTATAACAAAAGTTCTACAAAGTCACACAGTAGTACAAATAATAAAAAAGCACACGCGCATATTAGTTTTCTACAAGCAAATGAAGTCTGATAAAATTCTTAAATTCTAAAACAATTTTCAGGACACATTCACAGACGGAACTACTAATAATCAGAAAAACTACAGACGGTATAATTCACGGTTCTAAAAATCATACAGTTCTAAAAGTTTCAGCAATTTGCAGGACAAATAAATGCATCTTTGCGAAGATACTTGGCGAAAACGGAATATTTCAGATCATTTTTGAGCCTGAAATCAGACCAGGATTTCACATTTCCTGCCGTGCTTCCACCACATTTCAACATCGCTTCAATTTCATTGGAGGTGAGGACTTTATCCCAAATGTTGAGGTCGTTTATTCGCCCTACATAACGTACACGCAATGAAGGTTTTGGGATCTTCTGAGCCAAAGACAAAACTCCGCCACCCTGGATTGCTTTGCCTGCGCTCAGGCCTTTGTCGCTCTTCAAAAGTTTACCGTCTCTGAAGAATGAATATTTCCCGCCTGCAGATTGCCAGGTGAAACATATGTGATGACATTTTTTATTGTTGATTACTGCTGCTGTACTCCTGTAAAAAGTAGAAAAGTTGTGTTGTGTTTCGTGCACGAAAATATTTCTCTTTGACCTTTATATTTGGCTGACGTGCGTTTATACCCAATGGATGATTCCAGCTATGGCGAAATTTTGATCTAAACAAGAACAACAAAATCCAACACCACACCTAGAAAGTGCGTCTTAAAATGAGTAAAATTGCAAAGTTTGGTTGTGAATTGTTGTAAAATGAGGAAGATATAGCTCTGTGAAGTTCGCAAATTTTGCATATATTTGCATTACGCGCGGGAAAAATAACCAGTTTTGAGCGAAAGTTATTTTTACCGCGCGTAATACAAATATATACAAAATTTGCGAACTGGACAGGGCTATATGTTCTTCATTTTACAACATTTAGCAACCAATCTTTGCAGTTTTACTCATTCTAAGACGCTCTTTCTAGCTGTGGTGTTGGATTTCGTTCTTCTTACCTTGATCAAAATTTAGTGTGTAGCTGGAATCACCCATTCCCGAACTGTAGATAACTCATATGCTTAGGTTACTATTGTTCTAGTTTACAGAAACATAGAATAGAACAAAGGAAACTAAGCTTTAGAATTATCTACATACAGGGCCGTTGTGAGCAGCTTTCGTTTGGGCGGCGGATGGGGGGGGGGAGCAACAAAAATCTACCCGATATATACCTTGTTAATAATTTTACCTGAAAATACATAACATATAACATGTAACCGACACCATTTCAACCACTAATTGATGGTTAAAAATTTTTTATAATTTTATTTTACTCAGCAATTATTGGGGAGGGCTAGGGTGTGGTATAATGCTTGGTGAAACCCAACTGTACTTACGTAGCTCTCTTGCCATTCACACGAACTCCCAGCCTATTACCAGCCTTGTAAAACACAAACTTTTCCGTCTTGTCATTATTAGTGGCGTAGGACATTAGATACATGACACGACGTTTCCCCAAAGTGTAAACTCGAAGACAAACTGTCATGGCGTTCATTGTTGGAAGGTTGGCTGTTCTAACGTAAACTTCCTTTGTGGATCGGTAAAAACCAATAGTATATGCTAAAGCAAGAGAAGATTACTCAGTTCAATAACGGGTAATGGCAGAGAAATTCAAAGTCAATTTAACGGAAAAGTAAAGTAAGTTAGTCGGTATGCTAATTAGCATTTCTCACGCCGCCATTTTTGGGGTACTTTTTTGACAATCCTGCGACCGTAACACCACGTAACGCGACATTTTATAATTGTGTGGGTGTATGATGGTAAATTTACTCTGTAAATAGTTAGTTTGTTCTGAAATATTGCTTTTCACATTGTTTTAATCGTTTGCCCCAAAAATGGCGGCGTGAGAAAGGCCAATTAGTTTTACTTGCAGCTGAGAGCTAAGCTGAATTGTGAAGGACGCAGCTCAACCTGATCCAGTCGAACTGAGGCTTTCTAAGAGCGTCACTGGCAGACACTTTATGCCTCATGTCTGATGATCACAGCCGGCACAGCTACGGTGGAAATATTTAGTAATTAGGGCTGGCTAATCCCAACCCACCTTGTCAACTTTCCCTGTGGGAGGAAACCGGAGTACCCTGAGAAAACCCACGATTTTCAGTAGAGCGTTGACAGACCCTTTTTTACATGAATATTTGGACCCAGAACGAGAATAAAAGCCACGATTCTCAGAGGTGAAACGCGCTTGCTTTGTCGATTGCGCCATCATTATTCTCATTTTTGCCGCTAATATTTTTTAATATTTCTTTCATTAAAAGAACGTTCTCTATCGTACCTGATTTCTCGCATTGATTTCCCTTGAATCCAAGCGTACACTCGCATGTCGATCCCTGGCATTTCCCGCCATTTTTACAGACTGCACACCCGTTCGACACTGAAGACAAGATGGTGGATTAAAATCCCAAAAGCAAAATGCGTTGCCTTTTATAAACATTACCTAATTTCGCAAAATGCGCAAAATACCAAAATAATACAACTGATATCACTAATAAAACATTTGTTACGAACAAATTAATATCTCGATCGATATCTAGGATTGTATACATCGAGGTATCGGTAAGCAGTTTGCCCGACATACTGTTTATAATCATTCCTGTAGCTGATTTGTTGAGCATCTCACATTGAAGCGGGACATAGCGCCGTCGGAATCAACATTTACGATATTAAAATCGTGAAGTGTCGCGTTGCTTGAAAAACTGCAATGGATCTAGATTTGATCTTCATATCTTCTGGTGTAAAGACGGTAAAGTCCATTTTCCACTTCAACCGTATCGTAACGGATCGTAGCATTTTCTTTTGTGTCGAAGTCATTAGTTCAATTCTAGTGCCCAGGATACAAAGAAATACGCTTCGATACAATAGGGTTGAAGTAAAAAACGATACAGTTGAAATAAAAAACGACCTAAAGTCCTAGGTCCGCGGAGAACTTGATCATTCGGGCTGCTGAAACCTGTAGAAGCCCATCAAAACCTCTCTTCTCACGAATCATGAGAGAATAGAGGATCCCAGTCTTCCCTCGCCCATGATTCGGTTTATTTTGACTGACCTTGTACCACTGGTGTACCACATTTATCCCCTGTGAATCCCGTTTTGCACTTGCACGAAGGTACCTTGTCATCCCCAACTGTACATTCTCCACCATTGAGACATTGGTAGATATCACATGGAGACACTAAATGTGAAAAATATTTTCATCAAAGCTTAGTACATGTACCTTTACCTCTGTGCACGAGGTTTAATTCCTAGAATATTCATATCATCTTATTGCAATTTGGCAGGTGAGGAGAGTGCTTCCAGTTTCTACCAAACACAGGTAGCTGGTTTTCTCCTGTAGTAACACTGGATCAATAAGAGAGGATCCTTACTGGACCTCTAGGAAGAACAGTTTAGAACTGATCGAGCTATCCAGTATAAATAAAGTTAGTTTAGTTTAGGTTTCCTCCTGTAGTAACACTGGATCAATAAGAGATAATCCTTACTGGACATTTGATCTTCATGTATCACCACTAGGTCACCACTAGGAAGAACAGTTTAGAACTGATCATAGAGAGCTATATCCAGTATAAATCAAGTTAGTTAGTTGCCTCAAACACTCACCCTTGTCTTCGCAGAGTTCACCCTTGTACCCATCTGTACACAGACAGTTGAAGCCATCTCCCTGTTTGTCACAAATCGCTCCATTTTTGCATGGATCCGAGTCACAGGCGTGCACTAAAGATGACAAAAAATTAATTTGGGTTATGTATTGACAGACACTATAATGAAAGTAACAGTGGGTCTCTAATCTTTCCAACCTCTTTTGGAGAGCTACGATACCCCTGTGTAACCCCATTAAGATGGAAAATGCCACACCCAGGTAGGAGCGAGAATGCCCCAAAGAGCCAGAAGGCAACCATTTCCAAATGTTACCTTTTTGTTCGCAGTTGGAGCCTTCATAACCAGAAGCGCATTTACAAACATAAGTTTCTCCTTCAGCCACACAAGTTCCATCATTTTTACATGGAGAATTTTCACATGGGTCAACTAGGCGAAAGATTTAGTATTATTAGAATAATTATTAAGCCAATAATTGCCAATTAGATTGCATTACATCCGGCTCGGAGGACCATGTGGACGCAATAGCATGAACTAACTCGGATTATCTTACTTTTAATTTGGCAGTTAACGCCTTCGTATCCCGACGTGCACTTGCAGTTAAAGCCGTCTGGAGCGTCAGATCCAGTCACCTCGCATGTTCCTTCGTTCTGGCAAGGAGAGCTGTCACATGGAGACACTGAAGGAAAATGAAGAACAGTGCTTTTCATTTTAATGATTTGTCACAATAAAGAGTACTATAATCACACATACAGACATGTATGACTGGGGAAACAGATAGGTGTGACTGGGGAAACATATGGTATACATGGGAAACAGGACTTGCGTCCCAATCGACACCTAACCCCTTGTATAGATTCTACTGTCTATTGCACTCCAACCCCATTGATCTCCCTTCGACATGTTCATGGCAATTATATAACATGGGTTATAATCTTTAACTGTCTGTTCCAGTGTAGGTAGTGTCAATATAAATAACAAGCTTTTATTGGTAGGGATGCAACCGCCCGAAAATACAAGGAGAACCTCGACGCCTCAAGCGAAGGTCCCCCGTCCGGAGCGAGTGTCGGGGAAACTACACGAGCCCCCATCCTAAGAATACAAAACGTTAAAGATGTTGCAAAGTGTTAGTTAATATATACAGCTTTACGTTCAGAAGTAAGTATTCTTCTCAGAAACATGAAATACAAGATAAAATAATGGTAAGATAACTGCATAATCGAAATACCTTTCTTTTCACAAAGAAATCCTGTATACCCTTCTTTACATTGACAGACATATTGACAACCATTGTTCGTGCAGAATGCATCATTTTGACACGGAGAGCTGTCACATGGGAAAACTAAAAGAAAGAAAAGTGATATATTTGAATTTGTTGTAGACAGATCGTAAGCAGTGCAGTGGTTGTCTCCAAACTACCAGATTAACACTACAAGGGTTGGAGCAAAACTATTCGCCATGCAGTAGGTTAGAATTAACCATATGCATTGTGATTAACACGAACCAGGGTGTTTTTTGCATGCAATATTTTTTATGCCCTTGTTTGAGATAACATCAAGCACATTAACCACAGACTCTTTTCGAAAATGCTAAAGTAATTTCTTTCTATTATTTTGTATGTAGTTCAGTTAAAATCACGACAGTTTATTATCGAAATCAATTTGGAGCATGCACAACTATTACTCTCTTTATCCATGAATTAATAAAGCTTACCTTTATTCACACAAGTCGGTCCATCAAAGCCGACCGGACATCGGCAAAGATAAGTATTGTCGTCACTCTCACATGTCGCTCCATTTCGGCAGGGATTGTCTGAGCATGCGTCTAAAGTAAGGATAAATATTTATGGTAAGTTTCATGACAGTGTTTGACCTACAGAGTACGCCTTTTTTCAGCATGGCTTATAGCAACGGTTTTTGTTTTCAGCTCGTTCACCCCTCTGTGATAAGCGTTCGATTCCTGCAATATGCTGTTGTACGATTATAATTTCACCTCCATATGAAAGAGTTACTCCAAATTGACTCTACCAAATACTACAGTTTTGTTAGAACAGTTTCGAACTGATAGATCTGCACATGTCCAGAATAAATAAGTTTACTTCAGGTCATGTTCCTCAAATTACCCACAAACACTAACCTGTTACTTCGTCGTAGACTTTTGTATCTATGATCGTTGAATTTAATTCCACTACGACTATAAAACAATCAGAATCATTTTTGTAGATAAATATCTTCTATAAAATCTAAAGAAAGAATAATAACATAGCTCTACCGCACCTGGTTTGTAACAATATCCGTCGTCTCCACCAAAATTAGCAGAACATTGGCATTGGACAATAACCTCTGGAAATGAAAACAAAATTGATGGTTGAGCGTCACGAACCTTTTAAAAATAGCAAATGATTAAATGAACTTATGAAGAACTGCAGGTAGGGCGACTAACTCATGTTTAGTTCAAGGAAATTTTGAATTTGTTATAGAATTTCTTCTTATGCTTATAAGCGAATGGTATTCTGTCGAATTATAACGAATTTAATCATTTCAAATACATTTTAAAAATCCCACCTTTTTCCTCACACGTGTCACCGATGAGACCAGGAGGACAAATACAGATAGCTTCAAGTGAACTGGATACTTTACATTCTGCTCCATTTTTGCAGGGAGAGTTTTTACATGGGTTGACTTGTTCTTCGCAAGTTTCGCCTAGCCATCCTTGGGCACATTTACAAACAAACTGTTGTCCATTTTTTTCACAAGTGCCATTATTCTTGCATGGAGATTCCGCTTTGTCACAGGGATGAACTGAAAATCAAAGTAGAATTTTAGTTCCGTCTATCCTCGAGAATTTGCATTAATATGCCACCAAAATTCATAATTGCTGGTGATGAATTTGGTGAATTATTATTTTACAATAGTGGAAAATTGAAACCCATCAACTGACAGTAATGGAAACTACGTAATGTAAATTACTTTCAATCTTTCCTAAGAACTTTTTGTTGTTAAGTTTCGTTTAATTATCATATTATTTTTACCTATTATTTCGCAAGTATCTCCAGTCCAATCTCCGCTGCATTTACATACATATTGTTCTCCATCCTTTTCACAAGTGCCTTCATTCTTACAAGGAGACACCGCTTTGTCGCACGGATGGACTAAAAAGAAAAAAAAAATAAAGAACTCAGCCCTTGTTGTTTTCCGAAGTAGTGTTATATATGAAGAGGGGGTGTCGTAACTACGAAATTCCAGATGAATGGCCTTTGATGATGGAAACGTCTAAGCATATATATTTTAGGTAATTTCATCTTTCAATTCCAAGACTATTCTACGATTATTTCTATATTCTTAGAAAATCTTAGCTATCACGAAAATATTCTTTACCTTTCGTCTCACAAGTATCTCCAGTCCAATCGTCGGTACATTTACATATAACCAGATCTCCATCTTTTTCACAGACACCTTCGTTCTTGCAAGGAGACTCCGCTTTGTCGCAAGGATGGACTGAAGAAATGAAGAGGGAGAACAGTTGAGAACTAATAGAGCTATCCAGTAAAAATAGTTAGTTCAGTCTGGACCAATTAAACATGATTCGTACTGAATCTCTGCTAGGGAACAATTTGGAAAACATAGGAGCTTAGTTGAGTTAAAAAACAGAATAGTCTTACCTTTTATTTCACAAGTATCTCCAATCCAGTCTTCAGTACATTTACAAACAAATTCCTCTCCATTCTTTTCACACACGCCTTCATTCTTGCAAGGAGACTCAGTTTTGTCACACGCATGAACTGAAAAATGAAGCAAAGAAGTTTAATAAAGATTCCGTCTCAGCGACAGTGATTTGTATTTGACTGCAACATATTTCAATCAATTTCATAAGACGTTGTTCCGACCACGGATTGAACTGTATTTCTATAAACAACAACCATCTTATTTCTTTGCTATTTATGACTAGTTATTTCACCTTTTTCTTCACAATTTTTGCCCGTCCAATCTTCCGTACAGTTACATACATATTCATCTCCCTGTTTTTCGCAAACTCCTTCATTTTTACAAGGAGATTCAGCTTTATCACAGGGATGAACTGAAACAGAAAACAAAGAACACACCAAGTTTTACTCTAGAAAAAACAGTTTCGAGCTGACAAAGGTATCCTGTCGAACTGATGTTAGTTTAGATTAGACAAGTTTGTAAATATTTCTACCTTTTTCTTCGCAGGTAGCTCCAGTCCAATCTTCGTTGCATTTACATACAAACTGCTCTCCATCCTTTTCACAAGTGCCATTATTTTTGCAAGGAGATTCGGGTTTATCACATGGATGAACTGTGGAGAAAATGACAAAATATAATATTAGAAAGCCTAGCAATCGCTTCCCATAAGGGTTTTATTTTTCACTGAAATGTTTTTTCATTTTTACTAATCAGAGTGATTGTATTCTCGTGGTCTTGTTTCTTTGTTTGAAGCTATATTCCCGGCTCTTTAGCCGGTTTTCTTTTAATTATTATGTAAAGTTTGTTCACCTTTAGTTTCACAAGTATCCCCAGCCCAATCTTCGGTACATTGACAAATAACTTCATCTCCATTCTTTTCACAGACGCCTTCATTCTTGCATGGAGACTCTGCCTTGTCACACGGATGAACTGAAGAAGAAAATATAAAAATCAAATATTTCAAAAATCAAGCTTCTTCACTGCAATCCTTTTTAGTACTATTGAAAAAGTTAGTTCACCTTTTGTTTCGCAAGTATCTCCAGTCCAATCTTCGCTGCATTTACATACAAATTGTTCTCCATCCTTTTCACAAGTGCCTTCATTCTTACAAGGAGACACTGTTTTGTCGCACGGATGGACTGAAAAGAAATAATAAATTTAAAGAACAAAATCCTTGTTGTTTTCCGAAGTAGTGTTATAAAGAGAGTATGTTGGCCTTTGATGACGGAAATGTTTAAGCATATATATTTTTCAGGTAATCGCATCTTTCAATTGAAGACTATTCTACGACTATTCTTTCTATATTCCAGGAAAATCTTAGTTGTCATGAGATAATTTTTTTACCTTTTGTCTCACAAGTATCTCCAGTCCAATCGTCGGTACATTTACATATGATCAGATCTCCATCTTTTTCACAAACACCTTCGTTCTTGCAAGGAGACTCGGCTTTGTCGCAAGGATGAACTGAAGAAATGAAGGAGGAGAACAGTTAAGAACTAAAATATCTATCTAGTATAAATAAAGTTAGTTTACGTTTCCTTTTGTAGTAACACTGTACCAATAAGAAAGACACGATTCGTACTGAATCAATAGTAAACAGTTTGGAAAAGAGAAGCTTAATAGTGGAATATATTTAAAACAGAATAGTCTTACCTTTTATTTCACAAGTATCTCCAATCCAGTCTTCAGTACATTTACAAACAAATTCATCTCCATTCTTTTCACACACGCCTTCATTCTTGCAAGGAGACTCTGTTTTGTCACACGGATGGACTGAAGAAGAAAACATAAAAATCAAATGTTTCAAAAATCACGTTTGTTCACAGGAATCCTTTCTTAGTTTTAGAGAACCTCCTCATGATCCTCAATTTCTATTTAGAGCTATGCATTATGCCTGGCTTCTACGTCTCTTCTTCATTTATGTATCTATTGCAAAAGTTAGTTCACCTTTTATTTCGCAAGTATCTCCAGTCCAATCTTCGTTGCATTTGCATGTAAATTGTTCTCCATCCTTTTCACAAGTGCCATTATTCTTGCAAGGAGATTCTGGTTTATCACATGGATGAACTGCAGAGAAAATTACAAAGGATTTTAGGAAACCCAGCAATCGTTTCCCAGAAAGTTTTCTTACAGAAATGTTCTTCACTGAAGGGCTTGAAGATAGAAATGTTCTTGTTGCTACAGCAGGAGTTATTCTCATTGCTCTTGCATTCTTTATTTAAAGCTATACGCCTGGCTCTTTCGTCTGTTTTTCATTTAGTTATCTATCGTATAAAGCTCGTTTACCTTTCGTTTCACAAGTGTCTCCAGTCCAATCTTCGCTGCATTTACAAACAAATTGTTCTCCATCTTTTTCACAAATGGCGTTATTCTTGCAAGGAGACTCTCCCTTGTCACAGGCATGGACTGAAAATAATAAAATAAATTTAAATCATTTACCTAATCCAGTAAAGTCAGTTTACTTCAAGTTACTTCTCGTAGTTAACGCTGGATCAACAAGGGATGATTCTTACGGATTTGAAGCTAATAATTTTACCTTTTTCTTCGCACGTAAGGCCAGTCCAATCTTCAGAACATTTACATTTAAAAGTAGTATCGTCGACATTTTCACATTCCGCTTCGTTTTTACAAGGAGAACTTTCGCATGGGAGGACTAGGGAAAAATATGACGACATCAAGGACATGAAACACATAGTTCATCAACCACTGTGTTACAAACACGACAAAATTTTCAAATTTTAAATGACCTTTCTCCTCGCAGGCTACTCCCTTCCATCCATCTGCGCATTTGCAAACAAATTGATCTTCCATCGCTTCACAAACTGCTCCATTTTTACACGGGGATTCAGCTTTGTCACAGGGATGAACTGCATAAGAAAAAAACAAGACACTGAACTTTAAAACGTAGGTTAGTGTTCTGTTATGTCTGGCGTCCATTTGGTCGTGACTGTTGCAAGAATTTCAAGCTAACCGATGTAATACAGTGTCCATATATCTCTACGATTAGGAAAGATTGATGGGCATACAGTGCACAAAAATGCATCCAGAATATTTCACGTCGGTAACCAAGAGTTAGTTAAGACGATGTCAAGGTGATCAATGTAATAAAGTGTGTAAATATCACCCCAGTCAGAAAAGACTGGTTCATTTGCATACAGCATACAAAAGAAAAGATGATCATGACATAATCTCTATTGCCAGGAATGAACTACTACCACCTGACGAGAAGTTAATTATCTTCCGTTAACAAAACAGAATCTTACCTTTTGTTTCACACTTATCTCCCGTCCAATTCTCCGTGCAATTACACACAAATTCATCATCATCTATTTTTATGCATTCTGCCCCGTTCCCGCAAGGAGACACAGCCTTGTCACACGGATGGACTAGGATGAAAATGAAATAAAAAGTTGAAGAGAATGAAATTTTGTTTTTCTATTTTCTTCAAAATGATTCTTTCTCCTGCATGAAGTTATCATAAAGTAGAACTTTGGTATTACAGTAGACATAGTTAGAAATAGAATTGTATTGAAGAGAAAAATTGGAATCCCGCAAAGCTAGAACTAGCTTCAGTGAAATAAAATGAAAAGTTTTATATACTTTTTTCTTCGCAAGTTTCACCCTTCCAATCCTCGGAACAAGTACACTTGAAATTTTCCTCATCGACATTCTCGCATTCCGCTTCGTTTTTACACGGAGAGCTGTCACAAGGTTGCACTAGAGAAAAATGAAAAGAGCAATTTTAATATGGAAAAAAATATAATGCCAAGCTAATGGTATTTCCAATGCTAATGGTATTCTCATTCTGATCACCGTCGATTCACCACATTTCTGGTGCACAATGGTGTTTTGTGAAACCCACTTATATCACCTAACAGTGAAATTAGTCTCCACATTCAAGACAATAGTCTCCACATTCAGGTAGTAATCATTTCATTCTTTACCTTTTTCTTCACAGGTGGCGCCCTTCCAGCCCTTGGCGCATTTACAAACAAACTGTTCTTCTATCTTTTCGCAAACGCCTTCATTTTTACAAGGGGTCTCGCTTTTGTCGCAGGGATGGACTGCAACGAAAAATACAAATGACGTAATTTGGTACAACTTATGTCCAGAAAGAACATTCCCAAGTTACAAACTGCCATTTTATCTTGTCTGCTACTCTAGCTTCGGATGTATTTTGGTGCAATTCTACACGTTCGTACTTCTCAGTAACCAAGACGTTTGTTATTTCTCAACAAAAAAAACTTACTTTTTTCTTCACAGGTTTCTCCTGCCCAATCTTCTGTACAGTTGCACTTAAATGTATTTTCGTCCACATTCTTGCATTCTGCGGAGTTTTTACAAGGCGAGCTGTCACATGGGAGGACTAGGAAAATGTTAAATGATTTTTGTTAAAATAAAACTAATGTCTATGGTTTCACATGTTATTAATCTAATGAAATAAAACTGTCATTCATTTCAAGTTAATACAGTAATTCGCAGGCTAAGTAATACATGGCAGCAATAACGGATAAAGATGGTATACAAAAAGTTAATTAATTTTAGTTTTTACAGTTGATAAAAAAAGGAACCTTTTTCTTCGCAGGTTTCGCCTGTCCAGCTTTGATGACAGTTACATTTGAATGTTTCTTTATCCACATTTTCACATGTTCCATCGTTTTTACAAGGCAATTGATCACAAGGTTCAGCTAAAAAAAAACCCAGCATGACAAAAATTCTTAAAACAGATGAAATATCCATCATGCAGTACATATCGTCAACTAGCAGCTATCGGAGAGAAAATAATAATTTATTATATGTAGTCGTGTTGCATTGGAAAAAAATAGGTTTGCTACGAGTGTCAACATTCTTGAAGTTGACCAGTGTCATTAACTGTTCCGTAATATTTACACGAAGCCATGAATTGGATGTCGTAAACCAACCGTCCAAAACTAGATGCGATTAAAATGATTACCTTCACAATTCGTTTCGTTACATATGCATGAAGTATTATCGCGATCATAAATACAGATCTTCTTCTCATCACAATCCACACCTTCACAAGGATCCTTCGTGACTGTGGAAAATTCAAAATATATTTGCCTAATTAATAAACTAATTCACCTCCACCATCACAACCACAATCACCATCATCACTATCGATCACGTATTCTCCACATTTGTCATCATCTCTAGCAGAATAACCACCACAATCATCACCACCAATATAACCATCATAATCATCACCACCATGTGAAAGTTACCATCACGACCATCATCACCATCACGTATTCTCCACATTCGCCATCATCACTACCAGAATAACTACCACTAACATCACCACCACCATCACCACCAATATAACCACCATAATCATCATCATCACCACCACCGCCACCACGATAACAACATTCACCACCAGCAACACAACCTTAAAAGTGAACTTACACGAGCACAATAGCTTAGCGACCTCTTGAACATGGTCATTTAAACCACCATATTCGGAGATAACAGGCTTGAGTGGACTGGATATCTTGGCTAGCTCATTATACACGGATTTATCCGCCCAAAAATCTTTAAATGAATTCACCAAATCGATGGAAACAATTTTAACTCCTTTGGCTTTAAGTTTTTCGGCTTCTTTAATTGCGTCCGACTTGCTGTCCAAAGGAACTTGTGGAGTTAAAAGAACAATTGCTTTTGCTGCGTTGGGATATTGGTCTGCTGTCTTGAAAACCTGAACAAAATATGAAATATGAAATTTGCTTCCACAACATCTCTAGATCTATCAGTTCTAAACTGTTCTCTATAAAGATCCTGAACAAGCCATTTCTTGTTCGTTAAGAAACCTCTGTGCCAAGCAACATACCTCGTCATTTGCTATTTTCAAAGCCCTCGCGGTGTATCCCTCAAGACCATAAAAGAGTTTTGGACCATTCTTGGTCACGTCCTCGATCTCGTTTTTTAGTGAGCTGGCATCAGAATACGCGCCAGGTAAAAAGGTCACCTGTGTGTCGTAATAATAAGTAAATTCTAGTACTCCAACTCTAACGGCGAGATCAGATATCTTTAACCAGTCTATGAGGTCAGACATATAATCTCTGACGTAACTGAAGTCGCTTGTACTTTGCCAGCTAGCTGTATCGACAACGAACATAAGGTCCAGCGGATTTTCACATTGGACTAAAAATTAAAATGACACTAGGATTTAGTTAGGCCTAACTTTGTAATTGTATTATCACAACTAACTTTATTTATACTGGATAGGTATATCAGTTTTAAACTGTTCTTCCTAGAGGTCCAGTAAGGATCATCTCTTATTGATCTAGTGTTACTACAGGAAGAAACATAAACTAAACTAACTTTATTTATACTGGATAGTTGTATCAGATCTAAACTATTCTCCGTAGAGGTCAGTAAGTGGAATTTTCGTTTAATTTCGACGAAATGAACAAAAACAACTTACTTTTCTCAGAGCATGTTTCACCGCGGTAGCCATCTTTGCAAGCACATCCAAAGGTGTCATCATCTATGTCCGTACAGTTACCTCCATTTTGGCACGGAGACGATTCACACGGTTTTACTAAAAGAAGAGAAATTTATGATGAATATGCCAATATGGAGATTATTATGGTGAATATGGAGAATACTGTGATGAATGTTGAGACACTCAAAGTGGAGACATTGAAAATAAGCTTTACCTTTAACACCACAGTATGGTCCTTTCCACCCATCAGCACATGTGCACTTGTAACTGAAGGGAACCACTGTACATGTCGCGCCATTTTTACACGGTTCACTGTCGCAAGGACCTATGGGTAGTGATAATTATATTTTAAAGTTTCTATTTATACTGGATAGCTCTATCAGTTCTAAACTGTTCTTCCTAGAGGTCCAGTAAAGATCATCTCTTATTGATCCAGTGTTGTTACTACAGGAGGAAACCTAAACTAAACTAACCTTATTTAGGCTGGATAGCTATAGCTCTATCAGTCTAAACTGTTCTCCATAGTTGTCCAGTAAGGATCATCTCTTATTGATCCAGTGTTACTACAGAAGGAAACGTAAACTAAACTGAGCTAACTTTATTTATACTGGATAGCTCTATCAGTTCTAAACTGTTCTTCCTGGAGGTCCAGTAAGGATAATCTCTTATTGATCCAGTGTTACTACAGGAGGAACCTAAACTAAACTGAGCTAACTTTATTTATACTGGATAGCCCTATCAGTTCTAAACTGTCCTCCCTAGAGATCCAGTAAGGATCATCTCTTGCTGATCCAGTGTTACTACAGGTGCAAACAGCGGGAAGAAACCTGGAATATTTGGTAAAAATAGCTGCAGGAATCGTCTGTCGGTCATAAAGGTGGAATGCGTGTGTACCGCTGACCACTACTAACACTTGCATCATTACCTGGTAGAAACCATGGCAGAGGATTTCCGGTTACTATGACAACGTTTGCTGACGCCAGCACAAGGAGAAACGACAGCTTGAGTTCGAGCATTGTTAGCTAGAATTGAAAAATTAAGTTACAAAAATGAAACCGTACAGACGGGAAGCCTCATATCTTGTGTAACAAGCCTGCCAATAAGCCGGCAACATGTTGTGTTGACACTGCTTGTCCTAAGTTGTCAACAAGTTTGGATAAGCTGTTAACAACTTGTAACAAGCTTGTTGATATTATCAGGTTTGTTGCAAGGTTGTTCCACCAAGTCCAATACAGTCATGATATCTGGCAATATTGTTACAACCTTGTGTTGTCCACCTTGTAACATATCATGACTGTATCAGACTTGTTAGAACAACCTTGTAACAAGTCTGGTAATGCCATCAAGCTTGTTACAAGTTGGTAACAGCTTGTTCCAAACTTGTTACAACAACTGGGAACAAGCAGTGCGAACACAATTTGTCGACAGCTTGTGAACACATTTGTAACGGCTTGTTTGCAGACCTGTATAACAACTTGTGTGCTTTTTACTTGTGTAAATGATTGTCTCCTAACCTAAATGATTCCTTTCTAAGCTAAACAGTTAGTATGATTAGCCTTATAGACTTGTGAAGAAGTAAGTATCGCTCGTTGAAAAGCTGGAAGTATTTTTTATATACCCTTAGTTAATCCAGCACGTCTGGGTTATTTTAAAGTAATGAAAGCGTATCCCTCCCTTCGAAACGCCTCAGTAACCGAGATAACTAAACGTGTCACGCGTCTCTGCATCCCTTTGTTCTAGCACAACCAATAACATCCCTGAACAAGTTAAGCTACTAATTAAAATTTGTTGAATATGTCAACGACATAATGAGACAAATGTTGTTCATAATAAGCCTGGTTCACGCCGTATGCCTGCACTATCATTGTTTACAGCTGTTGATGCATATACATTCTTTGTGAATTATTTGGTTGACTGACTGCTAACGTCAATCTATGCGTCAATAGCCCGCCAACATACCGCAGGTATACAGCTAATTCATTTGAAAAACCTTAAACTCTAGACTAATTCTAAGCGTGCAAAGCATAATGGGAGCATCATTTAATCAGTTTAGAAATCATATATGGGGCCATCTCTTAGAGACATGGTAAATATCTCCTTACGAGAACAGTTCATGCACAAATAGCTGCACTGATATTCAACTAGTAAGCTTGAAACTTGTGCTCCATTAAGCTTTGCGCGCTTAGAGTTTAAGGTTTAGAGTTAATTATTTTCCAAAGGATAACCTTTTTTGAATTAGTTGTATGTAAACCATGCAGGATTATACAAGTTGCCATATTAAATACACCGACGTAGCCCTTTGGGGCTGTTAACATGATTGTCCGCTTTGCGATGAGATGGAAGGCGGGATGATTTTGATGTATTGAAATAAGTCACTATGCCCAAATGCCGTGGTTAATAGAACTGAAATGTTGGCGAGAAGATCTTGTAGTTCAAGGCGATCAATATTACTGTTTGAACACGCTGTGTTCAGCAAGAAATTGTCATGTCAACTAACCTTTCGTGTACAATTACACTATAATCTATCACTAGAAAAATAATGTTTTGCGCTGGGTTGGCAGCAGATTGCTGATTAATCGGAGATAACGAAACTTTAGCACGAGATTTTTTAGGAACTAGCAAACTTTAATAATCATGTCTTAGCTTCTAAATACAAGACTACTACAACAGAATGAAAAGGGTTTGAACATTATTTTCTCACTCTGATAACTAACTGCATGTTGACCACCATCGGCTGCACGATAGTGTTTACAGTTTAGCCAAATGTAATACCAGCTCATGAAATGCTTCCCGTTCGAAATGTCTTCGGGAATAAAAGATATGATACATCTCATCTTAATATTGGGAAGCTTTAAGCCGAGATTCTACAAATACATTCTACACTTGTGTGAAGAGTTATTATATAAGGCGCGCAAAACCAATCCAAGCAAATTAAGGTTCAATTAATGCAATGCCGTCCCATACAAAGATGCTTATTCAATACGAATCATTTGGCGTATCTTTTTCATCGGTTCACTTTCATTGTTTCATAGTCTATAAAGCATAAACTAAAGGATTTTCAATCGATTCTAAACCTTTTAAGAGTTTTAAAAGGCATACAAATAAACATGCATGCATACAAACGCTATCTTTAAATCTAAATCAAACAATCTAATATCGTGGTATGGTTCCAATATACCTTTCTCGTAGGCTTCAACTATAGACGTTTAGACTTCAATTTTGTCTTCAACAACCAATGCAAAACATTAAATAATTAAAAGCCACCACCAACGACTTCCAGAGAGCAAACCACGCTAGCTGTGTACTAGTCAAGGTATGAAAATTGGCCCGCTTTGCATGTGTTTGTACCCTCAATAGATGCATGCATAATTATACGCGTTATGCTGGTTGCACAAGAATTGAATTCAAGAGAATTTAATGACACCCAAGTTCTTTATTAAACAAAGTAATGTTAAGGAATCAATAGACCGTTTAGAGTACCGGACAATTAAGACTGATTTGAAATGGAAAATTATGTAAAGTAGTTGTTATTGATTCTCTTATTAACACTGACCGAGCCAATTACATTGGTTTCAGGAAGGGTGTGAGCTTAAATTCACTTAAGATTTTAACCATACGTACGTCTTCGACCATTCCTTCGACCTAAGGCTGCTACGAAAGTTTAAAAAAGGGATTTTGACGACTTTGGTATCCACTTTGTATTATACACATTTCACATTTGTACTGTCGAAATGAAATACAGTAAAACAGATCGGTTAAAACAACCATTTTGAAAGGCTATCTTGGATTCATTGATCTGGTTGTTTTAACCAATCGGTTTTCACTACGAATCTAAAAGAATCTAATTGATATCAAATTCATTCCAGCCTCCAAAACCCTGCACAAGTCAAATTATACATGCAACTGCCAAGTTCCTTTGTCTTCACATTTTGTCTGAAATCATGCACAATGGTCGAGTAATTGGGTGCATGCACTCATAATTATATCAGATTTACCGTTTATAGTTAAAAAGTCAAGGTTTGACTTCTATCTTAGATTGGGGAATTCTTCTTATACATCAGTCTTATGTTTAAAAGGAAAATCTGTCTTAAATCAAAATGTGTTATATACATAGCAGAACAAGTCACTCATGCGGCAAGTTGACAGTCATTGTCCATTGACATTGTATTACCAAGCCCTTGCAGTTTGAAACAAACCATTTACACAGTCTCTACCCTGAACACTGTATTCACAACTTAGCCCCACCTTAATACTTGTGCAATAAATTTAAAAAACGTTCAAATTTACATGAATGTTGCACTCGTACGATCAAGAGCTCTTCCAAATACCAATGTATAATACCATCAGGCATCACCAGTCAGAGAACATCCATTACAGAGGGGCGAAACTGTGCAACGACCGGACAATAGCACAAATGCCCTCCTTCAAATGTTTTAACAACAAATTAAAGAAAGAGACATGTTAGCCAGACTTTATACTTAGTAATGGACTACTTTTAATAATAGAAAATTTTATGCTAGTAAATTCTAGCTTAACTATATATGTAATAATTTTAATCTAGATTTTATAATAACCATCATCATTCCATGTAAATTAGTGTCGAAAATCCTCATTGAGGAACACAATATGTATGTAATTCACCAAATCATCTCAACCGAATAAATCGGCCGACTAAAGCCCTATGAAAGAGAACAGCCGTGAGAGTTGATGAGAGTCAGCAGTCATGCACAATTTGTTACAGGGGATATTTCAAGCTCTAGATTAACAAAATAAAGGTTCGATGAGTGTTCCAACTATGTTTTAACTTCACTAAAAAGCCAATATCGGCTGCGCTGACAGCAAAATGCATGCAAGTTCATAACCAGAAGATTCTTTTTAGATTCTGATTTAGTAATACAATTACATAAAACATAATTTACAGAGAACTATGGACGAAATTGACAAACCCGACCTGAGGTCAAGACTATAAAGAAGAAAACTGTTAACCATGACCATGAATTCTACAGTACAATAACTAGTACAGTATTGTATGCATGCATATACGAAGTCAAACTAAATTCGAGCAACCAAAAAGATCATTGACAGTGTACGGGAAACATACCTAAGCTGTCCTTGCAGAGAATTCAATCTTGAGTCTTCTACAACGCGTTTCAACGACGAAATTGAGCTCTTTCGACTTCGCAGGACAAGGGTGTGTGTGTCTTCTGGTTATGAATGCAATTAAATAAGCTTCTTGAGTGTTCAGTGGTGGGTGACATGCATAATTATGGTCATGCTACAAAGCTCATATATTGAAATGGAAATTATTGGGGTAGTTCAATTACTAAACACAAAGAAACGTCAATCTCCTCAGAGGCAACGGTGCATGATCAAGTTGGATAATTAGTAAATCAGATACTGGACCATAATCTTTGTTTCCGTAATTTCTTCATAACCTGTGTACTGCTCACAAACGTCTCAGGCAGCGTTTACACTGTACCGTTTTCGTAGCGTTCTCGTATTGTTCTTAATCCTCAAGGGGACGCAAGACAATAGTCTAGTTCTCTCGAACAATACGAGAACGCTACGAAAACGGTACAGTGTAAACGCTGCCTCAGCGTTTGAAAAGCTCCGTGTAGACTTGAATTAATAAATCGCTCACCAGACAATTTTCAAAATAGTGGGGAAATTTTCGCAGACTGTAAATAACTGAATTCCTTATTGCCAAAGGTGGTCGAATCAAGACATTAGAGCCAATTTTCCAGCTTCAATCGTGTCGTACCGAAACGTAGCGTATTTCTTTCTCGAAGTCATTAGTTCCAAACTACCGCTCAGGAAACAAAGAAATACGCTACGTTTTGGTATTGAAGTGAAAATTTGGCTTAATGCCTGAGGCTGAGGCCTGTTTCAAACGTCGCGCTTCTCACCATGCATTAGCCTGTGCACAGCCTGTATTACTCGTACTACAGTACGAGTAATACAGGCTGTGCACAGGCTAACCATGCATGTGCCGAACGCATTATAGAAACAAAGATAATGTGAGCCATATCGAATCGTGTCCGGTCTGTCTCGGCCTTTAGACTGGCGTTTATGACAGTTATGCCTGAATGCTAACCGCAACCTTCAAGTCGTATTTCGAGGTCAACAGTCAGGGCAAATTAAACTGAAGCATGACTTAGCTGACGAAGGCTTGAAGAGCACTGAACTTCAGGCCGATTTACACTACACAACTTTGGTCAAAATATGTGAACGCTTTTCATGCATGCATGTCATGAACACAGAATAAAGATCAGTAACAGAGGGCCACTCAACGGTGTGATGCGTCCTCGTTTTTTTATGCAGGAATATGCAGTTTACTGGCCAGAAGGCGGAGCGGGCAGCCAGTACAGTGTGTTTATTGGCCAGAAAATGTCATTGACTGGCTAGGAAAATGGCGGCCAACATGCGTAATGGGACATGCGCGAGGACAGAAACTTCAAAGTTTCCGACATAAGTGGCCCTTGAACCCCTATATATGGATCTTTATTCTGTGTCATGAACAGGAGCTCAACTGTGACAGTCTTAAGATAGACAGCCAAAACGTACAACGCCAAACGTTGTCGTAACTCGTGGAAAATCTGCAGAGTTTGATAACATCAAACTAGAAGCAGTGGCGTAACGGAGGAAGAGGGGGCCCTTAGACATATTTGGTGTGGGGTCCCCAGTGGCGGAAATCTTGATGGGGGGGGGCGGCCGCCCCCCACCTTCACGGAAACTTAAAAGCGGCTAAAAACAGTCTTTTCGAGTGCAAATGGGGGGCTTTGTCAGAAATTTGAAAGTTTTGTCGGAAATTTAG